CCCCCTACTCATCAGATGCCTCTGAACTCAAAGCTTCTCTTGTTTCAGCTGGACCTTGATCCCACACGATTCAGTTCCTGTGTAAATATATATAAAAAAAGCTTGCATGATAGGTAGTGCAAGTCCCTCCCCCCCCATGGTTTCTGGATTAATAGCCTCTGATTTTTTTGCCAAAAAAAAAAAAAAAATGGGGCAGGGGAAAGGCAAAGATGGGGATGGTCCTGCCCCCCCCATGTCAACGTTAAATATCTCAGCTACTCCTAAAAAAAATATGAAGGTGAAGGCATTCAGTGCTGTGGAGAAAAACCACACCAAAACAGCTTAGATCAGAGAACTACTGGGTAGAACTAGTCTATAAATAGAAGAAACGGCTCCAGGGAAGAAACAGGAGATGTTAGAAGGAAGGGAAAAAGTAAGTGGAACAAGCCCACAAGTCTGTCGGCTTTGATTCATTTGGAGAACTTTTGATCACCACGTTATGACAACAGAGCCATCCTCGTTCCCCGGAGCCCTTTGTTGAAATATTAAACTGAGCGCCCTTGATAAAGAGATAAATCCAAGTGCACGCCCTTTTAATCTTAAAGAGTTTTGGAACGAAAGCCAAGAACGGGAGGTTGCCTAGAACGCAAATAGTTTAGGAGTGTCTCCTTATTTTTTTTTTCCCCGCGTCACTTTAATGCTTTTCCAATGGGATGTTCTTTCCTGAACCTCTGCCATCAGTGGGGATCCTCTCTTTCACCTGCTTGACGAAAAAGGATGAGCAAAATAATAATAATAAAAAATTGCCCTTGACGATTAAGGAGGGTAGTTGTCCCAACAGATCTGGAAAAAGCTCTGGAGCTGAGAAGGTTGATCTAGAATTATCCGCTCTTTGTAGTTGGTCTAGAGCAATGTGCCTCAGCCTCCTTCATTCATTCTGACTCCCAGAATTCCCCAGCACCAGGAAAAAGATGAGCTTTTTCCTGATCTTGCCAATGGTTGAGTAAAGTTCAACGGGCAAATGTTGAAGGCCGACGTTCGTTGAGTTGCATTCACCAGGTTCTTGCTTCTCAAGATCTGTTCTGTACTGGGATCACTGGTGAAGTCCAGTTAGATCAGGGGTTCTCAACCTTGGCAACTTTAAGACTTGTAGACTTCAACTCCCAGAATTCCCAGAGCTAGATGCATCTGAGCATAATAAGATGAGAGAGAATTGAGACGTGGAGACACAGCTGTGATCTATTGTATTTTCGGAGATGGAACGTGGTACCCAATCTTTTATGTAGAGGCAGAGATAAGAAATCTTAGGTCAGATACAAGCGTCAGCAAGTTTTGACTTGTTTTCCCTTTGAGACTAGGAATGGTGTGTGTGTGTGTGTGTGTGTGTGTGTGTGTGTGTGTCCCACATTCAGTCTCCCCCCCCCCAGCCCTGAAGCTTGCTAGATGGCCTTCACCTCTTGCTACAGCTCAACCTAATTTCTTCCCAAGGCTAGTATGAGAATGAAAGGAAGAATTCCAACGTCTTGGAAGAAGCTGAGTTTTCCTGACAAAAGATGGCGAGTCTTCTGACTGCAAACACTAGTTTTGGATGCCAGGAGAGAAGGGAAGAGTGAAGCCTTCTTCTCTGCTTCTTCTGAAGAAGGGCCAACTCTACCCTTTGGATGAAAGAAAGCTCTACACTTTGAGGGCAGGGACCTAGTTAATGCCCACCCAAGAAAGCCTTTTGGACCCGTCTTTCAAACCAGCGGTCCTCTCTGTCCAAAATGTGGACTTTGCTGTCTTCGAAAGTGTGGCCTTTTGTCTTTTAAATGCAGATGACGAACTGCTGAATCTTGTCCTGATGGATTTATTCTCCTATGTTGTGCCAGGCGTTTGGGAAGGGGTTGTTTCGTTTCCCCAATGTACAGATCTGCACGGGTCTCACTGCATTGCGCTGCATACACCACGTTGCATAGTTTGTGTCTGGGTGTTTTATCCTTGGGGTGGACAAGCTTCTGCCTTAGTGTATTCCCCCGGGGACAATCTGAACGGGTCTGTAGCAGCTGTTACTGCTCAAAACCCCTTTCATGTGTAGAACAAACGTTGGGAATTGTTTTTGTTTTTTTTTAAAAAAAGGACATTTTCTGATAAGAAAATCCACACGAGAAAGGACTTGGTAATTTCAGTCAGCTAAGTCTGTCAAATGCATTTTATTCTTTTTATGAAACCACCATTTTACTTGAAGTCTGAGTTGGTCACCCCAAGTACTAGCTGTCGGTGGCTTTAATTTTCTGCCACTCAAGGCTCACCACTGCAAATAACTGCCAGATGTGTGTCTCTTTTTTTCCGTGTGTGTGTGTGTGTGTGTGTGTGTTTGGTCTGATCTGAAGCATGTTTTCTGGGCATTTTCCCCACCCCCTTTGTACTCTTGCCTTCTCCAGCCTTCATTTTTTTTTTTTTTTTGTACGAGTTTTTATGACTGCTTGACAACCCAACACATTCTGACATTTTGTAAATTCCCTTTGGTGTCAGTCTGAGTTGTGGATTTTTGCCGCCTCGCCTTTTCAACACTTGTCATTTTTTGTGCCAAGAGCGGGGGGGGGGGGAACACATAATAGTAAAAATGAACTCCATAGGGGGAAAAAAAAAAGAAAAGAAAAGAAAGCCACAATTGCAGGAAGACAACGGAGCCTGTCATGGCTACTTACATCGCAGGAGGAAAAGGTGAGGACGAAAAGGAAAACAACAAATGGAGAAAAATGAACTTAAACTTTATAAACCAGGGATTGTTCAAAGTTCTGATCCAGCGTTTGGGGGAAAGAGACAGGTTTTCAAGGCCTTGACAAGATCAGCGATCTTCTGTTCCACCCAATGGACACCAAACTTTATCTTCTCGGCAGACACTTCTGAGTGGAAGCGCAGAAAACGGGTTAGCTCACCTTGCAAAGTTGGTGTGGTTTGTGTCCTCCCGATGCAACAATAGAGGATTGTTGTACTTTGGAAAAAGTGCAAAGAAGAGCAACTAGGATGATTAAAGGCCTGGAGACTCAAACATATGAAGAACGGCTGCAGGATTTGGGAATGGCCAGTCTAGAGAAAAATAAGGATTCGGGGAGGGGGGACATGATAGTGGTATTCCAATATTTGAGGGGCTGCCACAAAGAGGAGAGGATCAATTTATTTTCCAAAGCACCAGAAGGCAAGAAACAATGGATGGAAACTGATCAAGTAGAGAAGCAACCTGGAATTAAGGAGAAACTTCCTTGCAGTGAGGACAATTAAATAGTGGAACAGAAGTTGTGGGTGCTCCAACACTGGAAGTTTTTAAGAAGAGACTGGACAGCTATTTGTCTGAAATGGTATACTGTCTCCTGCCTGAGCAGGGGGCTGGACTAGAAGACCTCCAAGGTCCCTTCCAGCTCTATTCTATTCTATTCTATTCTATTCTATTCTATTCTATTCTATTCTATTCTATTCTATTCTTCTAGTCTAGTCTAGTCTAATTTTCTATTCTATTCTATTCTATTCTATTCTATTTTCTATTCTATTCTATTCTATTCTATTCTATTCTATTCTATTCTATTCTTCTAGTCTAGTCTAGTCTAATTTTCTATTCTATTCTATTCTATTCTATTCTATTCTATTTTCTAGTCTAGTCTAGTCTAGTCTAATTTTCCATTCCATATTCTATTCTATTCTATTCTATTCTATTCTATTCTATTCTATTCTATTCTATTCTATTCTATTCTATTCTATTCTATTCTATTCCTGTTCTGTTCAGAAAGAATGCTGTGGCGTTGCTATTAGTAGACCACACACCAATGTTGAGTGTGCAGCGCTGTGGGCACAATTAGAATGTTGAGGCCCATCAAACCCCGGTCTGTGGCTTTCCAAAAGCCGGTGTGAATCAGCAAGTGCTGCGTTGTGCAGAGGGCATCAAAGAATATATTTTTTGGCATCACGTATTGAGCCAGACTTACATAACTAGCTTTTCCCGTCCTGGGGTTTGCTTAGGGATTTACAAATGATGAACAAAACAGATTTAAAAAGAGACAAAGGGGATTAGTTGGCTAGTTGAAACGAACAAAAACCTGCCGGTTGGGTTGTAGGGAGACTTCAGCTGAAAGGACACAGGAAGCAGCGATCCTAACTGGTTGATTTTTCACGGTGGAGTCCTTTCCATCTCACAAGAAGCCAGAATAGGACCACTCACTTAGATATCCTTGGGAGAACCATATCTTCATGTCTGTGGAGATGCTCAGTCATCCAGGTCATGGTTGTCCCACAGGTGCTTTTTCAAAAGGCAACTGGACTTCCTTGTTTTTCCTTGGAAGATGTTTTGCTTCTCATCCGAGAAGCTTCTTCAGCTCTGACTGGATGGTGGGGAAGGGAAGGATTGATAAGCTCCAAGTGGCCTCAGTTCTAGAGAATCCTTCTTGCTATCTCATCTTATCAACATTTAGCTTCCAGTTGGAGATCTAACTTGGAGATACCAACAGGTCCAAGATCAGCCAAGGAACTATGCCAGAGCAGGTGCTTGGCTCAGAGCAAGTATGTCTGTAGACATTAAAGAGGATATTAACTTTAGGGAGAGGTGCTATCTCTCATCAGGTAGGTCTACCTGTGGTTTCTGGATTGGAAATGGGAAGTTCAAAGACCTGCTTGGCCACCAAGCTAAGCCTGATCCACCTCAGACTATGTTGCAAAAATAAAAAAATAGGGCTGATGGTCATACACATCAGATCTTGACGCTTTAAGTCAGGGGTCTTCAAACTTGGCCTTTTGATGACTCGTGGACTTCAACTCTCAGAATTCCTCAGCCAGCGTGCCTGGCTGAGGAATTCTGGGAGTTGAAATCCACAGGTTATCAAAGGGCCAAGTTTGAAGACCCCTGATGTCGACGCAAACCCTTGTCTGAGGCAAGGCATGTTGTCCACAATGACTCAACTGTAGACAAAAAGGAAATAGGATTCTCCTTTTTACTATCAGTGCGTAATTAATATCAGCTTTCTTTTCTCTTTGCTTTTTCACTCTTCTTGCAGATGTCTTTTGTAACTGCAGCTCCGTCGGAAGCACAAGTTTGAGTGAGTGCAACAGCACGGGTCACTGTCCCTGCCACCCAGGTTATACGGGGCCCTCGTGCGACAGATGCGAAGATGGCTACTATCTCGGTCAAGCTGACCAGCGTTGCCTTCCTTGCGAGTGTCACCTGGAGGACTCCATCTCTTCGTCCTGCGACAAGTAAGGAGAACCCCTTCAAAATCCTCGCCCATCACCTTCTTGATTCCTCCCCTTTTGCTATGTTGGGAATTGTTGTTTTGGAACATTCCTGGTCTTGTCATCCAACGTGGGTGGAAAATCCAGGGTCCTAGTTTTGTGGCTGTGAAATGTATGAAGGCCATCGCATCAGGGATGAACGGAGCTCAGTTGCCCGTTTTGTTTTTCTGGGGTCCTTGGTGCTCTCTGAGCTTGGTGGTTTCCTTGCAGGCATTTCATTACCCAACTGGGTAACATCATCAGAACTAGAAGGAAATCGGGTTTATGGAGAGGTGCTAGAAGGGAGTAGTGGGCTTTGCTCTCTGTTAGAAGGGAACGGTGTTTGTGGGGAGGAGGAGGAGGAGGAGGAGGAAGACAACTATGGGGTCCTTGGTGCTCTCTGATCTTTGCTCTTTTCTTGCGGACATTTCATTACCCAACTATGTAATAACTTCAGTGCTAGAAAGGAGTAGGGTTTGAAGAAAGGAGGAGGAGTAGGAGGAGGAGGAGGACTGTGGGGTCTTTGGTGGTCTCTGAGCTGGGTTATTTTCTTGCAGACTTTTCATTACCCAACTAGGTAGCATCATCAGTGCTAGAAGGGACTGGGATTTGCTGTCTCTTTATATACGACTAGCTTTCCTGCTAGTGTTGGTGGGAGCGGTTTTGGTGGGCGTCCATTGGGTTTTCAGGGGTGTCTTTTAGGGTGACGGTCTCCCCTCCCTGCTTCCCCAGTCTTGACCATGTATGTAATAAGGCACCAACCGGTGGATTTTTCTCCTCCTTTTTGGAAAACGCCAATCCAGCCCCAGCCCCCTCAGGCATTTCTGGACGGCCAGTCTTTTGATCTGGGAAGCTCCACGTGGCCTGCCATGCCTCCAGAGTAGGGGAAAAGACGGTCTGGTGAAGGCGTTGCGATGCGGGCCAGATGTGCTGGGCGGCTGGTGACATTTCCCCGAACGCCTCTTCAGAGTTCTTGAGAGGTTTGGCTCCGGCGAGTCAATTCATGCCCGACAGATTCCCCTTTTGCGAGCATCAAGGGAGGACCGTGGCCCGCACAATGCTCCAGTGTTTGGGGGCAAAGAAAGCGCCCCTGTTTTCTTCCCCACACAGAGGGGGCTTTGCAGGCGTCACGGAGATGATGGTTGCAGAGAGGCCGGAGCAAAAGACGATGGGTGTGTGTGTGTGTGTGTGTGTGGCCGCGAACGGCACTGCCCAGCAATCGTCTTCCTCCAAACACAGAAGCTGTTTTTAAATGTCCAATTTCCAAGACGGGCCAGGGAGAAACGAGAGGCAATTGAGACATTTTGCCTGGGGCAATCCTGCTCTCTCTCTCTCTCTCTCTCTCTCTCTCTCTCTCTCTCTCTCTCTCTCTCCTTCCTCGTCTCCTGTCTCCTCACGTCCAGATTAATTGAGCTGAAAAAATCAACGTAGAGGTTGGGATGTTTTCCAAGTTGGCCGAGGGAGACGGTGATGGTTCCCCACGGAGCCATCCTGCGCCCTGGCTTCTCGGTGGGGTCAGTGAACCATTTGGCGAGGCTGGTGGAAGGTCAGAAGAAGAAGAAGGAGGAGGAAGAGAGAGAACAAGAGAGAGAGAGAAAGAGAGAGGAGAGAGAGAGAGAGAGAACGAGAATGAGAGAGAGAATGAGAGAGAGAGAACAAGAGAGAGAAAGAGAATGAGAGAAAGAGAGAAAATGAGAGAAAGAGAGAGGAGAGAGAGAGAGAGGATGAGAGAGAAAAAGAGAATGAGAGAGGGAGAACAAGAGAAAGAAAACAAGAGGGGAAGAGAGAGAAAGAGAACAAGAGAGAGAGAGAAAGAGAGAATGAGAGAGAAGAAGAGAGAGAGAGAAAGAGAGAATGAGAGAGAAGAGAGAGAGAAAGAGAACGAGAGAGAATGAGAGAGAGAAAGAGAGAGAGAAGGAGAAAGGGGGGGGGCATGCCAGGCAGTAAATCTTAACTGAAATGGATTTTTTAAAATCTTTCAGCCATGGATGACTTGGGTGTAGGACATTGGTTTCTTTGTCTGAGGCTTGGAGGCCCTGAAAATGGGCTATCACTCTTTGCATGGCCCAAGGGAGCAACAGAAAGAGAAAAAAATAAAAATAAGGGAATGATAGAAAAGGGATTTATTTTCACGTCTTGCCGGTCTCTGAGCCGCAGATCCATGATTAATTGACCTCGGTTGACTCAATGAAGCCAATTCTTTGGGTTTGTACACCGCAGTGAGCCGTCGCTAAACCAGCCAACCTCATTTGGTTCAGGGAGAGTTAGCCAGTCCCTTCTTCAAAA